AGGTTGTTGAATTTATTCCTTAAAAAAACACATTCAATTGTTGCAATCATGCAATATTTCTCCTTGACTGGGGCATTCAAGTATGTGTTTTGGACATCAGCAGATAAGATGTCCAGATTATTCAATGCAGCCACAAGGAAGAACAGAATTCTCGTGCCCATTTCCACAGGGCCTACCTTTCAAGAAGTGAGTCTTTCAATGTTTATGTCAAACACCATGTGGGCAGTTATCTTTTTGTGACCAACTGGGATCTTATCTTCTTTGTTGAATTCAAAAGCAACTATGTTGCTTTTCCTTTTTTTGAAATTGTGTTGTCCCAGTAACTGTTCTTTGATTGAATGGGGAAGCTCTACACCATGGTGCTTGTGTGTTCTGAGCCAATACTTGTTGCTTTTTGCTGCCTTAAGAACTCTATTAGCTCTTCTCAAGACTTTGAACATCATCACTTCAAGGCTGCTTTCTTGCTGAGGTCATTGGCCTTTGCATATTCTGCAAGCTGGATAGGGAAGCTCTCTTTGAGGTGAGACATTTTGTACCAAGTAGAGGTTCTGTCTTTCTACCCAACAAGCATCTACCATCCTTTTGCAGATGGTACATCTTACCACTCATTATGTACTTCCAAGCTGGAATCTAGCATCCTCATTGACAATTGCCACTCCAGTGTCCTTCTCATGATCTTCAAAGAAGTGTGTAGTAAGTGTGCCTGTCATTGTTTATCRTATAGGCTTGGCCAGCCAATGTACGGTTTAAACCTTGGATTCGTGGCCATCTAATTACCGTGTAACGACTYGTGGGATTAAAAATTGGCTTGTACCSCAGTGTACAGCGGGCAGGTCCTGAATTTTTGAATCCCACATTCATGCGACCAAATAGTTTCACACACGTGCAAAATAGTTTYGCGCGCACGTGCTCAACTGACAATTTTGGCTTCGAACACATGCAAATTTTTAATCCCATGAGTCATTACACGGTAAAAAGATAGCCCAAAATCCACGCACAGTACAAAAAACATGTAGGGCATGAAGAGAGGTTCAACTCACTTGAACAGCCATAACGTTTTCCCCAACGGACGCTTAAGTATGATAAGCACATGGTTAAAAAGAGAATTCAAAGAGCTTTCTAATGGCGTGGGGGAGTACGGCGTACGACAAATATTGACTGGTGATATTTGTTTACGTATATCTTGAATTGCTAATGTACGGTTATAACTGTGTTTTTTTGCTTGGCCCACGCTATACGATACATGTAGATGTTTTCAGCAGCAAAAAGGTTTGCAGTGTGTCATTCAACGCTGCCATCAGGAAGTTGAAGGTCATATCCCCTTGTTGTCTTCAAGAAGAATGGATTATTATTCCTCTTAAAATGGACTTTCCATTCAAATCCTCRGCTCTATCCTTGACAGCAATGCATCTCACCAATCATTTGTCTCCAAAATCCATCATCACCATATTGCCCATGTATTCATCATAGGYAGAGTTTCCAAGGACTAGATCATCAACATCTGGTATGGATGCTCATGGAATATTTATTGTGATACCATCTATAACTTAAAGAGGTCATCAAAGTTGTCATCAAACAAATCCTCCGCTGGTTTGGGGAAAGCGTTCTTCAACATATGCATCCTTTGGTTCAACTGAGTCACCAATCTTCAAAAGAACTTGCTTGTTGAATGTGGTTGAATGAAGGTGTGTCTGATATCATACTCTCTCACCAACTTATCCCAGTGTATATTCTTGCCAGCTGTCATTCCTCYTTGTTCTAAGCATTCTTGGAGACCAATCTGTCTAGTATACTACCTAGTAGTAGATCATGAACAAACTGACTCAAGGTTATATGCAAATTACATTTGGATTCAATTGGAATAAAATCAACATATCCTCTGAAGGTCACTGCAAAACCCTTTTTTGCCTTGTCTTTTGTTGTCATACTGGGAACACTGCCTTCTTTGTTTTTGCCCTCCTCTTGTTAATCTTTGCCCTCTGTTTTGGATGKGGATAACCACCAAACAATCCCTTGGGGCGTGCCTTCACTGAGCCAGGGGAGCTGTTGGCGTATTAAAGTACATCCCTATGGAGCTCCTCCACAATGAAGTCTGATGTTTTGAGTTGTTTGCTTTGTTTGTTTTGCTGCTTGCTTTTTGTGGTATCCTCCATTCTTAGCTGGGGTTGTCTCACTCACAGGTTGTATTGTTCTTGATCAATCCAAAGAGAACAAAAAGGGATTGATGCATTGTGTTAAAATAATACTAGAGAAATGCACCYACCACTGTTCCTTCTGATAAACCAGAAATATTACAAATAAGTGGCCTAATTTAGTGGGYGCTTTGTCTGTTGAGGTGCAAAGTGTCCATTATGGGACTGAAATGTGCTGAGTCAAACTAGTCATTACACCGGAAATAGAAGACCCATTATCTACACACCCTGGTGTTATTTAACCATATAACTGCCTTGGTGTATTATCAGCCCAATTGAAATTACATCCACGGGCGTTGTTGGGACAAATCATGCTGTGGTCAAGCGTATCACCAAAGTATAAAGCTTGGTGAAACACTATGATCCAAGTCTTGCTATCTAAATTAGTCCATACTGAGACACARGTGCCAATTTGGACATTCTTAATGGGATCATAKTCAGATAAAAAGGATGCCACATCCAYATGCACCTGTACCTTGGCAGGTGGGGTGAGCATACTCACATTAGATCCACAAGCAGTGGTATCAGTGTCACTATCCATTTAACAAAATCCATGTGTTGGCACCAGYACTGTGGTGGAGGTAGATATGGATGATAATGATACATTCATCTGATATTGCTGGTCATCAATGTTGAACTTAGGACTCCAGCCAGACCTTCATTTTGTATGTGCTGCTGAACCAAACTGGTTTCCAATGCCATCATTCCCTTTTGGTTACAGATGTTGTTCTTCCCCAGGGGTACACCTTATGGTTGTCCTCTTTAAAATCCTTGTCATTCTTGTGAGTCATACATTTGGTATTTAAGAATAACAGCTTGTTATACACTGTGCTATTTTATCCACYGTCAGTTGGGGTTGGGGTTGTTGCTGCTGCTTTTGTTTCAAAACTTCATAAAATATCTCTACAATCACCTGAACAATGAAGAAAAAGAYATTCCACAAGAAGATTAATTGGTAAYTGCCACAACAAATAAATTCAAGATCTCAAGGCAACAATGAGCAACAAATAGCAGTTCATCTGTTTTCTATCAGGGGATGGTGGTACTGGAAAATCAAAAGTAATTCATTATGTTTGACATTATTGCAAAGAATTGGGAGTGAACTTTTCCAACAGAACTCTGGCTACTATCACAGGCATGACTGGAACAGCAGCATGCAATGTCAATGGGGAAACAACACATAGTACATCTTGCTACACTATCTTAATTGTGACAGATCCAATGTTACAGGTAAATGAGACTTGCCTACTCACTGTTGACAAGATATCATTTGCTAGCATCAAACAAATTGAAACATTGTTGAATAAGAAGTATCTGAATTGATTGTGTGACAAGMCATCATATATTTTGTATGGCAATCTACCAATTGTCTTCGCAGGCGACTTCAATCAACTCAAACCTGTTGGAGGAGACTCTCTATTGTCAAAAAATATTTCCATCTTTTGAGAGAAAAAACCAACACATTTCTTGAAGTTAAAACAAACCACATGTTTAGAGATGATCCAATCTGGGGAGAGTTTCTTGATGATTKAAGAACAAATGGCTTMAAAGAGGAGAACAAATTGTAAAACCTTGGGGACAAACTCCCAGAAGATATTGCTTATGCAACATACAGCAATGCAGACAAATGTGCAATACTAAATGATGGCATATTTTCTGAGTTTCTCAAAACAACTCATTCAAAAAATAAAAATGGGAGATTACCAGATCACACCATTGTAATAAAGGTATCAAACCTAAAACTGGAGATAGACAARAAAAGAAAATACAGAGACATGCCAAAATTTCAGAAATACTACTTGCTGACTGTTGCACCAGATGCTGACATTGTTGCAGGTACAAACAAATCTTCCAAATTGATAGATTCAATGCTTAAATTGTATGTTGGTAGACCTGTCATGATCAACGGCAACATAGATGTTGAAAAGTCAAAAGAAAATAGAGCCATGCGTAMATTCAAGTCAGTCAAACTGAAAAATGGGTACCAAGATTGTGAAATTATCAACATTGATGGATTTTATGTTCAATGTGTAGATGCTGAGAAAGTTGAATRGATGGAGGCAGTCCTTGAAGAAGGAGACTCAAAAAAAGTGATCACTTTAACTCCTCAAAACAAGGCAGCAACAGCAAAATTTTGATGTTGGTAAGAATAGTATGAATCAAGAATTACCCATCAAACTCAAGCAAGTCACAAGGGAATTCAATTAACTCAATTTCCAATCAATATTGCTCATACAAGAACTGTTCACAAATTACAGGGAAGATCTTTGGAAAATGTGTTGGTTGCTTTCAACTTGGTCTTACACAAGCAATTGGATTTATGTTGTCCTTTCAAGAAGAGTTAGTAGTAGCAGAACTTCCAATGGTCTATTTGTAAGAACATCTCTTCTACTTTCAAAAAACAACAAGAGCAACAAAAACAATACCCAGCATACACAACAAATCAATGATTTCCATTCCTATTTCAGAAACAGCAAACAGCCACAGGGCTTTTGTTGAAAACCTTCTACTACTRCATTCTTTTCATAGCATAACTTCAACCTTRCTAGCAATAACTTAGTTTTTGAACTGTAGAAACTATTYGCGTTAGCGAGCCAATTCCAGAAAACTCTCCTGAGGGATATKTGCATAGARTTCTTATGGATTACACGTACCGGCCGGTACGGCGTGAGCATTCGTACCGTACGTACTGTACCTATTTTACCACTACTATTTCGGTTTCGTACCGTACTTTGACACTCAGTCACCTCGAGAGAATTCAGCTTCGTTAGTCTTTGCAGGATATGCCCGCCACCTGTTCGTAACTATCAAATGAAGAAGACGACCGTGGTGTTGTTGTACGGTAAAGGACCTATTTTGACAACTACAAAAGTACCAACAAGGCTCACCCGAACTATTTTCGTAACAATGAAGGTCCTTCTAGTTAGTGCGTTGGGTTGTCTGTTGGCTACAGCGACAGTAGTCGAATCCTTTGCTCGATCCTCCGTGCCGGGAAGAACTAGCCCGGTTGGCTCCAGGGCATTCGCTCTTGGTAACTCTGCAACAGACGAGGCAACGACTGCGAAGGGAAGCGGTGGTGACGACACGGCACCCAACKGTTTGCTGAAACGTGATCGCTACGTGGCTTCCAACCGATTTGCGGTTCGTCCCGGGCGAGAAGCAAAATTCGAAAAGCGCTGGGCCACCCGAAAGTCACGGCTGGCGGAACTCGACGGATTYCGGTACTTTCATCTGATGCGCCGGGTCACCCTAAACGAYGACGACGACGGATCAACGAGCTACGATGGCGGCGATGACAAGGAATCGTCGCAGGGAAACTATGTTTCTTTTACTGTRTGGGACAAAAAGTCGGACTTTTCGGCCTGGAGAAAGGGGGACGCGTTCGTGGAAGCACACGGGGGGACCTCGATCGGAGCCTTTGTCTCGACGATGGTCAATTCGGCCCTCGTGTTGAAAGGCCCTCCACGACCCGCCTTTTACGACGGCTTGCTGGTGCAGAGCGAAGAGCCGGAATTTATGCCCGAAACCGTGGATGGTTGGAGAAAGATCGACTTTCCGAACGAGGGAACCCTGCCGGCGGAATGCTTTGTCGCATGCAACCAATTCTTTGTTCCCCGGGACAATGCGGTGGCTTTTGAGCAACGGTGGAAAAATCGCGAATCGAAACTAAGAGACTGCGAGGGCTTTGTGGCCTTTTCTATGATGCGCCGGGACGGACAGGCCAAGGGACACGGCACCGTTGCAATGGACGAGTCGGTCGAACCGACCTACCTATCGACCACTATCTGGAAGGATCGGGCCTCCTTTCAGAAATGGAGAGACGGATCGAATTTTTCCAAATCRCACGGAAAGAAGGACGAAGGCGAGGTGAAAGGTCCGGTTGAAGCGTCGAAGAAATCACCACCGCCACAGGCACAGGGGCCGCCGATGTGGAGTCGCCCCCCCAAACCGATCTTTTATGAGGGAACTCTTGTCATTTCGACTGCCGATGGTGCCTAAGGAGTTGCAATATTGGTGGCATAGCATAAGCCGCTGCGTTTTCCGCGTCGTTTCATTTTTTCCTGCGATGTATCATTTTGTTCAACACATTTTGTCTTTGCCCCTACAAAACGGTGAACACACCAATTGTGCTACGGTATACCGTTCGATGACAGTTTGTTTAAATTAGTGAACCTCCTAAATATAATAAAAGTATTCTATTTCTTGCGGGGCACGCCGCAAACAAAAWTTTTACAATCCAATCTTTTTTGTAGGTGGCTTGATATTTTTGGTGACTAGGATTTCCCCTGTTCCTCGTTTCTACTGCAGCCCATCGTTGCCGTATGAACGATGGTTGGAGACGYTCATTCAAARGATATATGGCTGCAGAGTTGGTTGGKTGGRTGGGTRCCTTAAACATTTCGATCGCCTTGTCGCTCAAGCCGTGAACAAAATTTCTTCCTATAATTTCTTGTCAGGTCTCCCCTCGTTTCGCTTCTGTCACAAGACGTGATGCGAACAATCCGCTCGTGAATTTCTTCAAACGATGGTCGCTGGCTCGGACTAGGCTTCCAGCAATCTTTGATCAGTTCCTTCGTTGCATCACACGCGATCTGATCGAGACTTGGTCTCATGCCGTCTTTGGCAACGCGGCGCGAAAATTCTTTGCTACCGCAAGGCTTTTTCATCATTTGATCGTACGGAACGGTCAAAGAACACAATTCGCACAGAATGATTCCAAACGAATAGACATCCGTCTTGAAGAAATATCCTTCCGAGTTTGCTACTTCTGGTGCCATGTATCTTAGAGAACCGCAAATCTCACCTTTGTCGCAGTCTTCCAACCTGCGGGCCATGCCAAAATCGAAGAGACGGACGTTTCCATTACGGTCGAACCCGATATTGGCGGGCTTCAAGTCTCTAATCACGATGCCTTTTTTGTGGAGATACACCATCCCCTCTACGATGCCAAGAGCAACACTTTGCATCCGCTTGTACATCATTTTCACGTTCGCGGTTGGGAGGATCGCCCTCCGGTTTTCGAGAGCCAATCGTAGCCTACTGTGTTTTTTCCATCGAATAAGTTTCTGGCTCAAAACGTCTTCCAGAAGATCCAGGACGAGGAAGTATCCCTCGTCGGTGCATTCGCTGTAGGAATACGAAAACGTGGACGAACAGACCCCCCGGAGCTTGATGATGTTCTTGTGATTTAGTTCGCTCAAGATCTTTGCTTCCATTCCAAGATCGATGGCGGCCGTGGTGAGCTCGTCGGGAGTTTTGATGCGCGAAGAATCCAAGGCCTTGAGTGCAAAGGTTTCTCCGCTGTGGTTCTTGACCTTTTGGACACCGGAAAACGCCCCTTTTCCGAGGTAAGAAATCGTTTTGAAGTCATGGCGGTGGACTCTTTCAACGCAGGTTTTGGACGCTAGCGAGGCTTGCTTGCTCGATTCATCGTCGCGTAGATCATTCTCACATTCGGAGAAGACATCTGTCACCACAGTTCGTGCCGTTTGAGAACGAGACCTCGTTTGTATAAGCTTTCGGAGGCCTATTTGCTCGAGGCAATCATCTAGCTCTCCCAGTGTCTGTCTCACCGTTGGATCTTTCTTTACAATGGTAGAAAAGCTAGTGGCCGAAGAATTCTTGTCGAGGTGTTTCTTCCCGAGCCTCTTCAAGTTTATCATCATGTATTGCTTTTGTTKCGTATCGTAACAGAAAAAAATATTTTWATTGTGAAGAACAACGAGTGACGGAATTGCTTCCATAMAAAGKTATTTTACGTGCGATTGGAAGGAGAAGAGGAGCACAAAAATACTTCTTGTACTTTGTGATCACGAACAGTCGCATCTTCTTGAATTTTGGCACATKTAATTKKCGCGTACATCTTGACATCAATCGTGTCGTAGCTTGAGTACGAGGCTTGATTTTGGTACGCACTGCGAATTCAAAGAAAGGTCTATTTTTGTTGGATTCCAATAAGTAATTGAGTCACATAAAAGAACAACAGAGAAGTTTATCGTTCAATCCATTRATCCCAAAAAGCTGCTTAAGCTATCTGACAATAATATTTAAAAAATGTCGAGTCCATCCGCTAATTCTGTTGAATACACCCGCTAARTTTGAAATCATTTCATAGGCCTCTGGGGTGGGATCGGATATTTCATTCGTAGTATGGAATAATTAAAAGACCTCTTCGGATATTATGGGGTACTCGTGCTAKCGGAATTAGSACGCAWKWATTATTYKTGCTCTACGATAGCGGTCTTCGTCCTCGAAGAAGAAGAACGATTGATTCGTCAAAAACTAAAGGAGCACAAAACTGTACTGTATATTATAGCCCGCATCAAAGTCAGTGCGGGATGTTAAAAAAAGCGTCTCATTACTGTAAGGATGAAGTGGAAAAACTGAAAAYTGTCACAAAGAAGAAGAACACAAGCATCAAAAATTGTAGTCCTTGATGTCGAAAGAGAACAACTGTTAAACATACGGTACCTCCTACCGTACCATACAAAATTACTTCTCATGGCGAACAGTCAACTCTTGGAGCTTTGAAAGTAGAAGATATTACAGTATTCGATATTTGATCAAATGAAATTTAAATCAGAAAACATTCCACAGAAAGCTAATCATAAAAATATCATACAACAAGAATGATAGAGTTTTGAAACAATTAATCGTACTAAAGAACTACACTGATCATGGTCGTGTTTTAAAAAATGCAAAAATTATGTAAATCTCATGAATTTAAAAAACCTAGGCTGGTGCTAAGAGTAGTGGATGGAGCCCTTTTGTTGCTTCTATTTTCATGCAATGTGGGCGAGGGTTGCGTTCCAGGTCACCAGAATCTCTAGTTGCGTCGAATGTATCAGTAGCAGTAAGCGAATAAATCAACGTGTGACCATCATTGTTTAGCAAAAATTTCGTTTAGCCGTTGCTGGATTTGGTCGAAGTCGGGGCGGGCTTCCGGCTCGCCACTCCAGCAGTCTTGGATCAATACACAGAGCCTTTCACAAGGAATGAGTGCTTTCAGCTCTTCGARGTCCTCCGCTGGCCGCAAATGGTGCTTGCCAACTTTTTCCGATAATTCATCGAAGACTAGCATTGATACTTCGCGCGCGCTCTTCTGCCTTATATTACTGCCATCATCGGGCGATCGGTATTTCTTCCGGAATAATACCGACAATCCTGACTTAGGCTGAGGCGGTTGGTACTTCTTAATCATCATCTGTTTTTCTTTTGCATAGGGGGCTTGCAAAGAACAAAGTTCGAAGAGCAGAACCCCGAAAGAGTACACGTCTCCTTTAAGCGTGTATCGGCCGTCGTTCATGATCTCGGGGGCCATGTATAGCTGTGATCCACATGCCTCATCGGGTGAGCATTCAGCTAGCGGTCGTGTCATTCCAAAGTCAAATAGCTGAACGTCTTCGTTATCGGCAAAACCAACATTTGCAGGCTTCAGATCCCGGAGAACAATCTTGCGTGAGTGAAGGTACTGCATAGCCGAGACGATTCCGACGACRACGTGTTTTATTCGTTCGTACAAGGCGAGACGATCGGCATTGGTTACAGCAGCGGTCATATCGCACGGTGGAACTTTCTTGAAGGGGTTGTAGTTCTTCGCCCTCTTCCTGCTAGCCTTTTCGATGGCTTCTGCTCTACGCTGGCGTTTGAGTCGATCACCCAATGTTTCTTTAAGGGCGTCCAGGATCAAAAAAAATCCATCTATGCCATTCGTAGAGGTGCCCTTAGGATACGAGCCCTGCCTCGTAACTGAAGGAATTACGGTATCAGTGAAGGAGGCCGAGAAGGGTTTGGAACACAGCCCACGAATCTTGATGATGTGGCGGTGATCGAGCTCCGAAAGCATCTTAGCTTCGCTTGCTAGATCGGATGCAGCGTCAAGAAAGTCCTTTACGGATATCACTCGTTCAGGATCTATTGATTTGCAAGCATACTTTGCTTTCCCAACTCTATCTCCGGTTTGTGAAAGAGATGCAGTCACTAAATGAACTTGACAATGCTTACCCGTTCCGAGTAGTTGGATTTTGCGGAGCTCGTCTGGAGCGACTCGAACAATCGAAGAACCCGTGCCGATATCGGTATCATTGCCAGGTCCACTATGATTGGGAGTGAAAATACTGGCGAGCGTATCATTGTATTTCTCCAGTTGCGAAACTAGCTCGTTCTTAGAATCCGAAACACGACTTCCGCTTTCATCTCTGGAATCATCGGGACTGCCGCCGCAAACGGTGTTCTCTGTGATAAATTCAGATCTATTGGACGACGAATCGGGGGAAGCAAGAGTGCTCTCGGCTAGTGTTGTTGATGTTCCAATAGTGGAACACAAATGCTCTTTCGTTTGCGGCATGATCCGTGAAGACAGCGTTGTGCGGGCAGAACCTGTTGAGTTCGGACTGCAGCTCCTTTTACGATTAGCAGAAAAGTTGCGAAGCAAATGCCCAGCCATCACGATAAATGGTTAGTGGTACTTCCTACTTCTTTAGTTGTTTGAAAATATTGTTCAATGAGATGAAAGGAAAACTACTGATGAGATGGATTGGTTTTTGGATCAGCAATCTAACTGTTGGAAGTCGTTGTGTATTTTCGTCACGAAGAAACAACAGAGGAACGAAACGTTTTCGTTCTAGATCCTTTAAACAAAACGCTGATTAAAGGGGAATAATTTTGTCACTAGAGAGTTCTGATCGAGTCGATGTCATGCGATGTTTTTCAGAGTGATAGAAGATGTTCTCTACCTCAGGAACGGTAGTGGTTCTACCTGGGCAGTTTYCTTCTGTCTTTGCTATCACTGCAGCTGRTTTMATGTTTATAGTCCTYTRTTCCTGTTAASGGACTGTATTTTGTTTTTAAGAGKTCGCTATTCAATAAGCTCCACCCGAGGTCTCATGCAATTATTCCATTTCCTTAAGTAAAGAGAGCACGTKCAATGGAACACGTAAACATGATCCAAGCTTTTTATGGTTAGACGTACGGTATTTACATTACTCGTACCGGAGACWCTAAATTTCTTTTCGGTATCGTACAGAATCGTTCCCCGCGAATCTGTTCTCTCCCGTSGACCAAACTTCTCCTTTGGTTCCTCTAAGGGAAATGACTGAACCCTGTTTAACAGACTCCTCTTCTAGAATGGATTTTCCAAAATGCCTGATGGATTTTTCAATGAATTTAAATCGCGTAGAACGAGTTCTTACACACGATGGTTTCCATCTATTTTCACTTTCTTTAATTTTTTTTAATAAACGATGGTGACGTCAACACCGTTTTCATCCCGTAAGGGAAATGACTGAATCCTGATTAACAGACTCTATTGTCCAAAATGCCAGATRTATTCTTCTATGGATTTTCTTCAAGTGCCATTTTCTTCATCTTTTTCAACTTTCCTTARAAACTATAATTAACTTTGGTGACGTCAAMAGCATTTCCATTATGAGAACAAAAAGAAGAATCAATTGTGTATTCTTCTATGCATTTTCTTCACGTTCTATTGTCTTCATCTTTTTCAACTTTCCTTAAAARCTAAAATGAACTTTGGTGACGTCAACAGCATTTCCATTATGAGAACAAAAAGAAGAGTCGATGATCGATTTAGAAGTATCTGTTGACGAATGGACCTCGTGCGATGCCCAAATACTGTAATTTATTTGGCCAGTAATGCTACGCGCGGACGAAACTGCAAATTTGCAGTTTAGTACAAATTTAGTCCCTTACGTGTTAAATGCATGTAAAAAACTGCACAATCTACACTGCAAACTTGATTGTGGTGTAAAAAAGCAACTAAGCATCCAATTAAGACCTATTTTTTTGCAGAACATGTCTTAACATCCTAATGAACATGTTGGGTTCAGTGGGTAGTTGTGTTATACAATTTTTATGCTGAAACTACTGGTATAAGTAGGAGGTCCTAGTAGTATGATCCTCGTCAGTAGTAGTACTAGTAGTAGTACTAATTTGCATTAAAGTACAAATTTAGTCCCTTACTTGTTAAATACGTAGTTTTTGGTAGAAAAGTTGCAGTTTTGTCCGGTTGCAGTTTCGTCCTTGCGTAGAATGACATGTTTGTTGAATATTTGTCGAATGGGATTTGGAATGGTGTGAAGACAATCCAGATATGAAGAAACATTCACATTCCAAGATATTCTCATTCTTTGTTCATTGATCTAGTTCATAGGGTTATATGCCATGTACTCTTTAAGGCTTTGTGTTTGTACATACTTATGAGTATTGAATCAACATAAATTACTAAGAAAGAAAAAAACAAGTCAATAGTAGTCTGCAATTCTGTCTAGGAGTAGTACTAGTACTAGTATTGCTAGTAGCACTAGTCCAAGACACTCTGTGTAACTGTAAGCGAGCCCAAGGGCAATGTCACATCACACCAACAACATCTAAGAACACTTGAACAAGAACTTGCCCAAGTGGGTGACAGTTGCAAATGGCAACAACAAGAAGCAACAAGGGCGAACAGCTCCAAACAAAGGAACCATCAACACCACAACAGGAAAGAAGAACGATACCACAAAGAAATTCACTGGACACAGCAAAGGTGACCTAGAAGGAGTTCTGCTCACCAATGATAGCACCATCATGCAATGCATGGAACTACAGGACCAGCTCCAAACAGTGGGCGGGTCCAAATACATGCGAAAGGTGGGATCATCACTCGAAACCCTAAAGAGGTACATCAGATCCAGATTTGAACCGACAAAGCCTAAACCSAACAAGTGGACTGAAACAAAGATTGTTGATGGCTTCAAAGGAATTTTCATGCCAAAGCCAAAGCAAAAGCAAAAGCAAAATAACACAATTCCAGGCAACAGTGGCAGAGCAAAGAAAGGAAAGTCCCAACAAAATAATTGTCAAAACAAAGATCAAAACAAAGAGCCAAAGGAGGCTACAATGTTTGTGAAAAAAGGAGTGACATTTGCAGATCAGAAAGGAGATGGAATGATTGCCTGACAGATGCTGATGGTAGCAGCAGTGGAGAATGACCACAATTTTGGGCAACAGATGGATAATTATTTCCAGCTTTGTGTTGAGAATAAGGGACAACAAGTCAACAGTACCAACAACACCAAGACATTGAGCAAAGAGGGTGGTCACAATACACACAGGGTCAACAGCAACGACAACTTAGAATATTGGTTTAGATGCGATGATGAGGCAGACAAAAAAGGGGCTAGGGTAGTGATCCCCATTGAAAGAGAGGAGTGCGGGCACCCGGAGCCACAAGTGACTGCAAACGCACTTGAGCAAGTCACGCCCTGCAATGAACCAGTCAAGCCCTTAAACCCACCATGCAATGGCTACCAAGCAGTACTGGGCAGGGTGGGGACAGTTTTCAAGTACATTTGGAATGTGCAACACCTGGTTGCTCAACAGTAAGCATAAAAGGTGGACRGTCAAATCAACCCAAACTGGATACTGCTCGATAGCAAATCATCCTGTAACCTCATAACCAACCCAAAGCTGGTAACCAATATCAGAACGGTGCCAAATGGCAACARCATGGGTATCTATTGGAACTCAGGAGTGGCATACACTGATAAAATAGCTTTTTTTTATTCAACTAAGGGTGATTCTTCCAATTCAAATTTATTTTCATGTTATTCCCTTTCATTTGCAATAATGCGCTGCACTAGGGTACAGYACAGCACGTCTAGATCGAACGGGCTATTAATTTGGCTTTGTCGTACCAGGAAAATCACAACATTCGCGATGCTCAACTTACAACCCACTGAACAATACATACGTCMKTACTATCGTTTGTTGTACCYAAGTTTTTGAGCGCACGAATGGGTCTACTRTCAGCTTCATTACTTCTACGAGGGCGTCGTCAGCAGGTAGCAGACGAAAGAGATTCGGGAGAATGAATCCATTACCACGCTATGTTACGTTGTTCGGCATCGTACGGTACTGCACATAGACACGGCAACGCAAATCAGACACAATTTTAGTTTGCTTATCGGTGCGTACTTGTGCCCGTTCGTATCGTGGCCAAACCAAAAAGCGCTGTCTTCGTCTTTCGTTTGCTCGCTCGCTCGCTTTGCCCGTTGCAGCTGTGCTTCCTGCGTTATTGCTTGGACGCAAGCGAGGAACACATATTCGGAAGACCCGCTATGGTTCCCCATACAAAGGCCGATRCGTCCGGAAATCCCTTCATTTTTTTTCGCCAGGGCAACCAGTAGTAGCCTTCCCAGGGAGGTGGCTTGTCCCGATCGACGATGAGGCGTTTCGAATTCTGGTCACAATACATGGAGGGAGTCAAGAAGGCCTTGAGGGGGGCGCTGTTGCTGCTGCTGTTGGTTCCCACCGGATCGTAAAACTCGCGGAACATATCTTTCGCTAGCACCACATCGATGGGAAGGTATTCGTACATGGGTTGAGACAAAACCCGGAGGACACGACGGATCCGTTTCGGATTGACCACGTAGGCATTGGTATTCAGSGTCGTTTTGGTTTGATAGTACGGAGGAAGCGAATCATTGGTTGTGAATTTACCTGCGTTTCTCCATTGCGCCCCTTCGGAAGGGAACGGACCCGACAAACTCGTACCAAATTCTCCATTGCACTTTCTTTGMAATAGTTCTCGATCCGATGGCCGCTTCTTATCGGCAATTCCATTCGTAGCGTTATTGGGAGCCTCGTTTGCGGCAACATAATCCGAAAGTGATTTCCCCATGGTATGGTAGGAGAATGGTTTTCCGCCGATGTACAAAATATCCCAGTCCTTAGGTAGCTGCTGCACGACACCCCACGTTCGCTCGATCAGGTTCGAGACGCAGTGGGCGTCGTCTTCAAAGACAAAGAGCATATCTGGGCGGAGGCGGARCCGCCGCCTTTTTCCGTCCGACAAAGTCTCCGTTCCTCCGGTGGCCTCGCCGTCGTTGCTGTACCTGTCCTTGCTGTTTCTGCGTTGGTAYTTTTTGTTTCCCACCCAAGAATTCCAGGCGCGTTCTAGGAGTTTCCAGTGGCTTAGATAGCACCCAACCGCGTGGGGACTGGCGTATTCGTGCTTGCGGCCCGCGGCRTCGGGTCCAGCAAACTCTGTGGCGTTCAAGCGGTACAACTGGGTTCGCTGGTGCCATTCATCGAGAACGCGCTCGTCCATTCCGTCGAGGGCCTCAAACCACCGGACAGACACCTTTGGTCTCCGTTGCTCTGTAGGAATGTCGTTATTGTARCCATCGTCGTCGTCGTCGTCAACTTCGTTGCCCCCGTTTGCCAGATCGAAATTACGGTGCCGAAAGACCTCGAACTTCGATTCCAACAGCGACACGACATGGACCTCAGCAATGGGACGCTTGGTTTTGCGAAATTCCTGAAGCGCGGATTGCTGGAACCCAAAGGATTTCCGGAAAGAATGCAAATTGTGGTAGCCGTAGTTKTGAAGCGWAGAAAGGGTTCCCAGCCAGACAACGTAGACGATGCACATGGCCATCGAGAGCTTGACTGTAAAGGTCACCCTTCTTGCCAGAGGTTTTCCGTGAGGCACGTGCCSACGATTCGACGCCTTGGCATCACGATTCGATTTCATGACAATTCTGTCGCGAAATTTGTCCYTGTTTTCCAACAGAGCTTGTTCGTTTATACTGCAGTAGTTCGAAAKACTATGTTCGTTAGTCGTCCAACAAGGTTCGAGACAAGGCGGTGAAATGTAGCGCGGTTGAACACAACCCGATGCGATGGAATGCTATTTTACTCGAATCAATGGATTCAGTCGAGAGAGATGTGGTCACAGCTTGGCACCAAAAGAACCATATGATTCGCGAATACCGAGCCCGTTGAAAGATTGCGCTGTGAATACCATGATACCAATGTTCGGGATGGTTCTAGGAAACTTTCATGGCTCACGATCAATTGGTTCCAGGTACCGAGTATTTTGATTTTTTGATGAATACTGTATCGTACTCACGGTACCGTACGGAAGTGGAGCTGTACTTAGAACGTAGCCTTCAGTACGAGTACTTTGCAGTCACTCCGAAATTTGTTCGCGGTTTATGACCAAAAACAGGACATCGAATAATATGATTCGAACTAGTCGACTTAATGGATCTTACGAGCAGCGTAACAAGTATTCGTATGCAGGGGTCATAACCGACCCCTGCCAGTACCGAAGGGTTGTTCGTACGGCCTGAAAATAATATTCAAGGAGTGAAGCGCAACAAGACAGTACGATACCGTACCGTACGTACTGGACGGTACAAAAAATATTCATCGTCCTCCCAGGTACCGRTACTGTGTACCGTACTTACRTACGTACGTCGACTATGTCCYGTTAAATCAAAGTCATCACTTGCATGCATCTTCTGTTTTGTTCCAAGATTCAAAAAATCGAAAATGGTCAAAATTCTGATCAAAGGAACACAGTTCGAATCATCGAATCATCGAATCCTCCAATCATCATCCGACTTCAATGATGCACCAGTACCAGTTCTACATACGCACCTGTTGAGGACGAACTTCAGGCGATCTTGGTTTCGTTCTTTTCGGTACGAGTACCTACGGAGTCAAAAAGAATAATCCTTTTGCGAGTGGTGTCATTCTCAAAAATACAGACTACGGAACTAAAAGTAGGGTACGTTGTACAGGACATCGTCATTCAATCCCATTACAACTTGACCATTCACACCACACGACATCCTCGCACTTCACTGAACAAAAACAAACAAAAACAAGCACCTACACCAACAGAAACACAAACAAAAATGTCTTTCTCGTCCCGCAGACGAAACTACTTCCTYACTCCTCATCGGAGAGATGGACTAATCGAATGGTGTGTCGTTCGTCGTCGTCTTTTTTTGCTGTGTTGTCGAATAATTTTTTGTGAAGGCTTGGTCGTGGAATCAATGAAAAGAAGATAGRTTCGATTCAGTAAAATCCAGTTCTTACCCTTGCTATGTTTTGTGTCATAACATATACTTTATCGTTGCGATTCGGTTGGGTTGGGTTGGGTTGGGTTGGATTGGGTTGGATTGGATTGGGTTGGATTGGATTGGATTTTGAATCGAATCATATTGAATTGAATTAAATTGAATTGCACACCATTCGCCGTTCCAGGATGAAAAGCATGCTCATGCACTCCTTCGTTTTGGATGCCCTGGCCACGACAGGCGCAGATACTTTTTCGCATTTTGAAGAATTGATCAATGAGCACCGCAAAATGTGCCTCGCGAACGGCGACAACAACTGSAATAGCAGCAGCAGCGATCACGAGCCGAAGCAATCCCGATTGAAACGATTGGTACCCACCGTGGGGGTCTTTCACACTCCMCTTCCCCTCCGRAGAGCCTACGAGGCCTACAACGCCAAGTACAAACTGGACAGGAGGCGCCATCTGGCCATTAGTTTCAACGAGATTCGGCACATCCTGAACCTTGCGCAGGTCATGGCCTTTTCSGAAGCGATGGAACCAGCAGGGCACRGATCCCTGTCGACGGCGTCGGGMAAMAACGCCGGGCGTTGTATTTTTTCCCGAAATCCACTGGATTCGCCTGCATTTACGCCACTCAACGGAAAAGAAATGGGAGCGATGCCCCCGTTGAGTTTGGATGCTCCCGCAGAAACACCGACGAKGACGGTGACAGCATCAAAACAAACCACGGACGATTCTTCCAGCGACGRCAGCAGTGATTCGGGACCCTTCCGYGGACCCTCCATGATCACCTTTGATGGTGACCAGACCCTGTACAGCGACGGGGCTAACTTTGAATCGAACCCGAAACTGGCCACGTATCTGTACCTCCTACTCCGAAACGGCGTCACAGTAGCGGTGGTCACAGCCGCCGGATACGAGTACCAGACTGCAAAATATGAGATGCGGCTGAGCGGACTCYTACAGTTTTTCAGGCAAAAAAAGCCCCTCCTCACTGAAGAGCAGCTGAATCGGTTCTATCTGTTTGGTGGTGAGTGCAACTACTTGCTGCGATTGGGAAGCGACTACGGCCTCCACCCCGTCAGGGAGCACGGGGCCGGTGGGTGGATGACGGCCACCAAGTACCTCGGATTGGATTCCCCCGCCAACTGGCCCCAGGAGGACGTGACCCGCCTCCTCGACCTGGCCGAGGAATCCCTAAGGGGCTCCATGCTTGACCAGAACCTTCAGTCGCGGGGCCGGTTTCTCCGCAAAAAGMGGTCGGTCGGCATGGTTCCGATCGGGGGAGRCGCCGCGCCGATTCCCCGGGAGGCCCTCGACGAGACCGTCCTGCGGGCCCAGGACCACYTGGACCGGCACAACCTAAGGGGAAAYAGCCGGGCATCCACCATTCCCTACTGCGCCTTCAACGGGGGTCGCGACGTCTGGGTCGACGTGGGCAACAAGCGGGTGGGCGTCCAGATTCTCCAGTCCTATCTGGGGGTCCCGGCCGCCGAGACGCTGCACATTGGCGATCAGTTCCTAAACACTGGGAACGACTACGCGGCCAGGCAGACCTGTCCGTGCATCTGGATCATCAACCCCGACGAGACGACCTACGTCCTGAAATCCATCCTAAGGCTGGCCGGCATCGACCTCCTCACGGTGGAACACGGCGACGCGGACAACCACGAAACAACAACGCCACCGACCGCCACCATGCGGAGGGGTTCGAATGTGGATTTCGCTGAACTGGAGCGGCGGACCAACGCGGTAGCCACCATGGACGTCTTTACGGGGGAACTCATCACAAAGGGGGTTGGTACCGGTGCTGCCAGTAGCGATGCAAAGCAATGAGCCTACCAGCARTCCCAACCAAGCCGTGCGGGAGGAGTATATCAGTTTSTGTACGAATGGTGTGAAGGGAATCGAATTGAATTTSTGTTGATGGTGATGTTTCACACTAGCCAAGTGAATTGAAACCATTTTCGCTGCGAAACTGTGCATCGTCGAAACTATTTTTGACCTTGCGAAGATCCATTTGCARTAATGAAGACGAATGGAGGATGAGAAGTATTTTCTCACTGCACGCAGATACGAAGCAAAGCATAAGGAACCAAAAACCAGGCTGAGAGACTAGAATAAAATATTTTTTCTAATTTTTCTTTTCTAAGACCAAAACATTTATCAGGCGAACTAAATTATCTCTCTTACGATCCGTGGGAGGTTTCTCATCAACGCATCAATTTTTATCGTTTACAAAAGAGTCGCGAACTCTATCCAGTGCAGTACTTTCCCCCCAGTCTGTCTCCAAGGTATCACGATGACATATCTGGAAAAATAATTTGAGCTACCCCATTACTTTGTGTCATTGCGCAAATCTCGGATGTATGCCTTTTTTCGAGTTATTCCTCGTGAGCAGAGGAATGAAATTCTGTCCCATTTTTTTTGTCTCACTATTATTCCTTGATAATAATGTTTTACTTTCTATTGCATCACACGAATTGATCCCATTGATTGCATGTTATGATGTTTCGCTTTGCGGAATCAATATCGTTGAAATCGCATTAAATGAAATACGGAAYCTCTAGAATTGGAAAGTATTATTGCCGACAGTAAACTAAAAAAGAAGGATTTCCTCCATTACTGTAAACTAAAATCTACTTTAATGTACTTTTTCATCACATACATAACATAGTTTGATTATTGCTTTGCTGTCTACTCCATTTTTTACTCGCTATTTCTATGTTCACATAAAATACCATATTTGTACCGTACGCACGACGTCTCACTCTGGACAAGTCTCTTCCGCTGTTCACTATTAATTTCGGACGTATGGATTTTGTCCAACAATTTCTTCTCTCAAGTGTCTGATTGTACCATGACAAATCATAGTTACTCGTCGCACCACCTTTCTTCACCTCGATTTGTCCTCTATTGTAGATTTTGCTTTCGCCGTTCGTTGATCCTACTTTTAGGAGGAAGATACACTCGAATGCCGCTGAAAGAACATATTCCTGTATTCCAGCACCCGTGCTTCTTCTTCAGTGATACAGGGTGTAAATCCCCAGGCCTCAAGGTTGACCAGTTCGAAGGTCGATCCATCGGAATGAATTTTCGACAGGGGCGGACTCCTGAAGGTCAGGCAGGCCGAGCTGGAACCCTCAAGCAATGATCCACCGGAGGTAGYTCCMAGCATGAGTCCAAAACCGATTTTATCGGGTGTGTGAGTTCCTCCCGCTTCCGGTCCAAAGTCCTGCGGGATGCTTGTGGATCCACCCCCGGCAGCGACCTTCCCCTGGTTGCATAACTGGAAAWARTTATTTCCGTAGTAAAACTCCGACCGGAAGACTTCTAAGTCTGCCTCGTGGTCGATTTGTTCCTTCAAACTACCCCAACGTTTGCTGTTGGTACTGTGGCTYTSGTTGGACAGATCCCGGSGGYTTTTCATGCGCCACAAGAAAGATTCTCCGGTTCCAAAGTATCCCGATTGGATAGTCCAGGRCCGAGCAAAAAATCCTCCAAAGACCTCGCCGTCAATGGTTTCCATCGCTAGGAGCGTACAGGGGCTCGCACGGACCTTCTTTAAAAAGGCAACGGAAGAGGCCCCGTCTCTTACCAACGAATACTTGAGCCAGATTGATTGTCCCTGCTTTGTCTCGGGTAGATGACTCTGGAGGCGATCCATCTGGATAGGAGACAAGACGTGCGGGTGACAATCGTGGTCGTCGTGGTTGGTTCCCAGGATTTTCAGGTTGGTACGCTTGCAGCCGGTTTCATCAATTTCCTGATAGAGCCAAGGGTCGTAGTGTTCTTCCGTCTTGTGACTTCCGTCTTCCTCGTAGATCTCGTCGAATAGATCCTCGCATGCGACCTCGAAACCGCTTCCACCATAAATGTTCACCGAGGCTCTCCTGAGGCCCATTCCCGGTCGAGGTTTGGACATTGGCGGCTKTTGTATCGATTTGGATTCTTCGACTTGARTTTTGTCCTCTAATTCCTTGTTCTCCTCCACCTCGTCGTCACCAACAGAGTCTTCGTCATAGCTATTCGATTTCTTTTCTTCCAGAATGTCTTCACAGATTTCAAAACCCTCTCCTCCATATACGTTGACCGATGCTTGTCGACAAAGAACGTGTTTGCCTCTGCGAGCTTCTGGTTTTTYGAGCATTTTTGGTTCTCGATCTTCGTCCATATCATCCTGKTCTGAATCAACAACAATTTCTTCTTCTTCGAARTCGGAATCGTCTTCATCATCTCCTTCCGGCACCGTCAATTGCGATATGTTACTCGTTCTCCGTGAGGACATCGACGATGAYATTCGCCTTGTGGCTATGGAAGTTGGTACATCTWTGCTTTTGCCTGCTGCAGCAAAGGCATTTGTCGCCTTTACCGCTGCAATCGACTGTTTCCACAATAGGGAGGCCCGTTTCTTGGCTTGTTCCGCWGCTTGCTTCTTTTTCGCCTCAAGATAATCCTGCCGCTTTTGGGAACCCTTCTCTGGACAATTCTTTGAGGTCATTGTGCCTGAGCTTCGGGACTTTTTTGTTTCATTTTCATCCTTGTTGTTTTGGGTTCTACTGAATAGACTTCCAATGGAAGAGTGAAGACYCGAAGTCGACTGGTCTGCCGAAAAGAACAACTGGTTGCACTTGAGAGTTTCGTTCATTTGCGTCAAGTCATCTTCGTTGACATCGTCAGAATCTATGATTTTCTGAACAAATTGAATTTCGGTCACGGTCATGGATCCACGCTTSGAGGCGATGCTCGACCGGAGGGTGCTCTTCAGGTCTTCAATGTTCGTTACGTTTGTTTGCGTGTTCATGTTGGTCGCAATCGAGCAGCTGTTGCGAAACAGCGTTGCAATCTCGGCCTCGTCTTCCATTGTTTTGTAGTTGGTTTTCGTTGCCATGAAGGGAAATAGGTTGTAGGTTTGATGCACCTCTCTTCTATAAATATGGATACTAAGGCTGTTGTTTCAAACTTGGTGAAATCATCTGCATTCGCTTAGACTTGCGCTTAAGATAGTCCTTGTACGTAACTAATGGTACGAGTACCGGTACAATACAAAACAATAGGGTCTGCAACTCATTTTTGTAAGCATGCCTCGTCCGTAGCATCGCCGATCTGATCGAACCAMACTTGCATTGGCATTTTTTGTTTTTGGCAATTCAGGGCAACCTAAATATTTGTACGATAAATTTTACAAAATAATTGCTTTACGAAATTTATCAAAGGAATCCACTCTTAACCCCAAGTTCAACGGATAGAATCTAGGCCTTCATCCAGCTGCAAACGGATGTGCAATGGTGGGCAAGTGCACGTTAAAAATAAAATTAATTCTGTTACTGTCARTACKTGGTAAGACTCTGTGCAAGTAGTATTGGCGYACTATAAAATAGCAGGATTTATAATGTTGTTCGGGAAATGCTCTTATAGAAAGCAGGATGATTAGCTCAGTTGGTAGAGCGTGCGACTGTTAATCGCAAGGCCATGAGTTCGATCCTCATATCGTCCGTAYGTTTTGGARTATCTTTTCTTTTTGACGCCACATTTTTCATGCCAGACATCATTCACAAGGACGAAAGTTTGCACATAACTGCCCCTTTATCAACTTACTACTGGAATAAGCTCAATAATTAGGCAATTTGAATTGTTCTTTTTGCACTTGTAAGATCTAGTATTCATGCAGTCATGAAGATTGCATGAGGTTAAAGTGTCTGACATAGTACCTGCAATAGCTAATTATAGGGACCCCATTTTTAGCATTTGATTTTCAGTTTACGGGCGGGTTGAAAGGGTTCCATGGATCATTCAAGGACCAGACTTGGAGCAATAGGAAGCTACTAGTCTTGTGTATTTTGTCAAGCAATAATAAGTGTTTGGCTCAGGAAACTTCTTATGCAGTCTGAGTCAGTCACTAGGAGAGGAAGCAAAAACACCCGATGGAGGAGAGCTCTAAACTCTGTTCTTGTGGATGTAATCAAAACACCCTTTGATCAACGGTTGTTATGAACCCCGACAAAGGTCAAAATAAAGTTAACGAAGATCACGAGAGACCATAACATACTACTGTTAGTCTCCAAAAGGGAGCTATACCAATGGTCTATCAAATTGGAGAGGTTGTCTGGTTTTACCTGGAGTACTGGAAGCAGTYGGATCAAAACTCTCCAATCTGTTCTAGATGAATGCTACAAAGCAGCTCCTGAACTCCGKGGTGATGTTTTTGTACCACAGCTTATTGAATGGCATTCAAGCAACAAAGTTGCCGGCAAAGTAATCTATGTAAGGTCCTTTAGACACGCATTGCAGTCTCTTTTAACCAATGTTTCATTAATCAAAGAAGAAAATTTATCATTCCCCAATCAAATTAACCCCACTTCACCATGCCGAGTTCCTGAACTAATGGCAGACTCCCTCATCTGCAAACTCCACTGTGGGGAATGGTGGGTGGAAACTTGGAAAATAAAGACGAAATGTTGGTTCCCATTATATTGGATGGCAAAAAAAAGTCACGGGACGGTCACTGTCGGACAGAGGATGTACTTGGCAACAAATTGATGATTAKTCATATCCCTCTCTTAGTACTACTGTGCCTAGTATTACTCTCCGAAGTATTTCCCTGCACAGAACGGATTCTAGTACAACTTGAGGYAATCAGGAAGTAGAGACCTGTCCTCCAATTTTGATTTATTCGTCTCGAAGGGAGTSTTAGCGCAATTGCGARCAATTCTGTCGTCGATCGTGTACGCCTGTAACTGTAATAGATTCATGTTGCATTGTATCTCGTTGTCGCCAGTTGTTGCTATTCTCGTCTCGTTCAAATGAGAGTCACTTTGCTTTCGATTTCTTCTCGAATGACTCCTGCGGATGCCAGTTACTCTGCTTAGGCTGAAGGAATGAATCACACTATTACGTCTTTTCCTTCGGCGAGAACACCAAATAATCCGCAAGTCCCAACACATTTTCTCCCTCGGCGGTCTGCTGGGCCAGGGTGGCCTCTTGCAAAATTCCTTGTTGTTGGCTAGGGGACAACGAAAATGATGCAAATTGGAACTGAAGGGCATAGTTTTGCAGATCTGTGCTGTTCTCGATACATACTTGGTTCCCAGAGTTTGGTAGAAACCCAATTCTGGTTGGGCTTTCTTCGTCATCGTAGTCGTTTGTAGCGAGCGTTCCGTCCTTGTTGCAAATCCTGAGCTCGGTCCCCGTGTTGAGCGGCTCGGGATTGATCAGAACCGAGGCCACCGCTGCTCGGCCTCGCTTTTCCCCACTGTTCGAGGCCAGCGTTCGTGCAATCCGACCAGGGACACCACAGCCAAATGAGGCGTGATTGGTCCCCACACATGCCACCAGCAATCCGTCGGGGTGGTGGCGGAGCCACCGTGTGGAGGCCGAGGCCATCGCCTCGTCTCTCAGCATTTGCCTTTCGACAAAGGTTGAAAAGGGAATCCCGCTACTATTGCTTGATGCCGGTCCTTGCTTGGCCATTCGTTGTAGGAGCTCGTAGGGTGGTCTTAGGGTGTAATCGAGGTAGGCTCGATATGCGGCGGTGCTTCCGAACGAACRGAAAGCGTCGGGGTCAGGAACGTAATTGTTCAAGCGATCTAGCGAGAGGGATTCAAGCCCCCCTCGCTCGACGGTAGTGCGGTCCTCTGACGACAAATCGAGCGCCAACAGTGGTATTCCTAGGTCCCGACAGGTCCTCAACACGGGTAAGTAGGCATCAAAGGACCAATACCATCGTGATTCCCACTCGGTGGCCACCTTGAGTTCGTCATTGTCCAGGATCCCTTCCACGTATGCGTCCAGGAACGGCTGAAACTGCTGCTGGACTGCCTCAAGCCCCACAGCCATTTCACTGCTTCCGCTGCCGCTGTGGCGTCGAGCCTTGTGTAGGTCCCGGAYCAGAGCAGCCTGGAGAAGATGATCCCTAGGGTCGGGGTGATGTTCTCCCAGCACCAAGGCTCGTTTCGATTGTAGATCCCGGAGGAGATTCTGGCTCGCCATCCGGTGAACTGATGGCGGTTTCGCATCTAACGCCGGCACTACAGGGGTCCGACGACCTGTGAGTCGTACGGTAGGAGCGGTTTTGACCCTGTAAACGCTTGATGATTCGAGCACTCTGTGAAGCGACGATTCGTTTTTCCTTCCGGTGGCAATGTCGTTGATTTTGTTGCGATCGCGAATGCTGCTGTCGGCATTTTGTGAGGTGTAAGTTGTGGAAATATTCTCCGAGGAATCACTCTCTTCCCCAAACGTGATCGAGGGTACTCCAGCCAGAGATGTGGTTCCAAATACCGCAGCTGCTATTGTACCAGGCGTTGATCGCAACATTTTCCGTCTACTGCTCGAACGAACCATAAGGAACGAATAATCCCTACTGGTATTGATGTTGTCCTCGTTTTTATCCTCCTCCTCGTCATCTCCGCCCTCGTTATGGTGACTGSTTATAGAAGAATGACACGAATAGATCCTACCTGAGCAAGTATTTTGATCGTGCTTTTTGGTTGGTTCCTTCACCCTTTGAATCCTCAATCTTCCATGTTCGGAATCGAAATTGATGTTGCATGGATGAGCACCGAATTCCCGTGTCGCTACCGGCAGAGAAAAGAAGAAGGCATCACATAACGCAACCGTGGTGCCTCGCCAAAGGAACAAGAAGACCGCCGAAACACCAAAAATCGCAGGGAAACCAAGGCATCGCTTCTTGACCGAGCTTGAGATGCCCGATTCCTCCGTCATCGTCGTCGGTTTGCTTCTACCGAGTTCGTCAGTTATTTTTAGCCACGTGCAAGCCGATGATAGGCATGTGTACTAGCCACTGACTTTTCCCTCAAGAACCGATTGGAAGGAAGGAAGGAAGGAAGGAAACAAAGCAACGAATCGACCAGTCAACCAATCAATTATGAATGGATTGCAAATCAATCCATCAAATGTAACATCGTTCTAGGGTAGGAGGCAGCAGCCAGATCTCGTCAATGATTGGAATAGACGTAAATGGTACTTCCTTGCAAAAGTTTGGTGTGGTAGAAAAAAGAGATGAGACAAAAAGCAAAATTCAAAAGAAGGAAGGAAGGAAGGAAACAAAGCAACGAATCGACCAGTCAACCAATCAATTATGAATGGATTGCAAATCAATCCATCAAATGTAACATCGTTCTAGGGTAGGAGGCAGCAGCCAGATCTCGTCAATGATTGGAATAGACGTAAATGGTACTTCCTTGCAAAAGTTTGGTGTGGTAGAAAAAAGAGATGAGACAAAAAGCAAAATTCAAAATCCGTCTCTTCTTTTTCTAGAAGTATTCTCTTGCAAGATGACAATATGATATGAAGTACTTTAAAGAATGATACTGTAGAAGTAGTGAGTGACTTTCCACAATCATATTATTTTAGTCATAGAGAACCTCCTCCTTACTTTGAAAATGGAATCACTACTAGTACTACTACTAGTAGTAACAGGTTTCATTTAGTATGAAATTAAGGTCAGGGGAGGAGAAGTGCTGGTGTTTGGTACTACTACTACTACTAGTAGTAGTAGTAGTACTACGTAGTAGTACCACTACTACTAGTACTACTACTACTAGTAGTAGAAGAAGCTAGCACTACTAAAGTAGCTAGCTAGCTCCTACTACTAGTACTAGTAGGGGATGGAATATGATTGTGGTGAGTCATGCCCATAATCCAAATTTGAAATGAAGAACAAGTACTAGTGAAATTCCAACACACTTCTGCATTCAGTGCTTGGTAGTACTACTAGTACTGCTAGTAGTAGTAGTAGCTAGTAGTTCTACTATTTGCTGGTGGTACCTCCAGCCCTCCTGTGTCGCTACTSTGTTTAACTTTGTCAGAACTTCTGAACAATAAACTGCTGTCACCAGTACTACTAGTCCATTTGGTAGTAGTAGGTACAGAAATGTGTTAGCTTGCCATCATATTTTTGGCCTTTCAGTTCAGTAACAAGATGGATTATGTTTTACTAATTATCAGAAAAACATTATTAAATTTTACAGTGTCTTCCCCTTGCTTTTTTTTTTCCTGAATATAATATTTGCAATGCCAGTGTAAGTAGTATCATCAGGAACATTAATGTTAAACTTGCAACCTTTGCTGTTGAATTCTGAATTCATCAAAGAGTGTTTGAAATGGTATTATTTTCATCTTGCACAACCAAATTCTTTCAAGTCTTGAAATGGGTTTTCTTTAATCTTGAAATGACGACTGCCTTTATTTTGGAATGAACAATTATGAGGATGATTCTTGAATTCTTGGGAACTAGATCTCTTTAGTTTTAGAATGATCAATCATGACAATTAGTATGAATGGACTTGAATCTAGTAATAGGACTAGTGCTAGTTGTACTACTTCAAAAACAAGCATGATGCTAGTAATAATAGAAGAAAAAAGGGAACATGTAAAGAAGCATGTCATCAAAAATTCCAAGAGAGAGGCATCCACAAGTCATGGAACATCAAAAGAATTAGGGAGGTCTGATTGTGCCACCACCACTCCAAGGTAATGTATGATGCTTTCAACCAGGGCACCCAGAGCAGACACTTCAGATAAACTACTATGCTAGAAAAGAAGTCAAGACATAATGTTGCAATTGGTGCCAAGCATCCGTACTTGAACAAAAGATGGTCAGGGGTGCTACTGATGGAATCAATGTGAGGGTCCAGAGTCATTGTCAAATTGAGCTATATATAATGGTTCACAACGGATAGACACCCAAAGCATAMTTATATCTTTCTTCGTGTTTGTACCTATTGTTGAAATTCTTGATATAATCAGGCTTTGTGCAACAGTTCAACAGTAGAGTTTCCAAAAATATTGAGCAAGTGCTGTTTTGGTAACAACTTCCAAAGGCAATTTCTTAGAGAAACGAATCACTGTAAACCTGAAAATACATCAAAAAACCTCAACGTGCTTATATCAAATGAACGTGACACCGAATGAGGACCCACTTGACACGCTCTTCTTGCGAACGATGCATGGCCCGAGGTGTAAACGCTCGGACAAAGCAACGGCACAACGCGTKATGTACACAAAAAATCAATCAATCAAACATGGTTGCTGGTCAAGTTACTGTAGTTGAATGTATCAGAGGTTAGTTTAGTCAATTGGCGATTCACTTCTATTCAATCAATGGAGGATTTTTTATGAGGAGACGGACGATCCGTCCGATTCGATGCCTTGCGTCGGTGCCTATTTTTCTTGCAACTCGGGGACCCCTACGCGTATACAAGTTGAAGCAGTCGAAGTAGAAGTACGGTACGTAGTCCTTCATAGCAATGCGGTTGTTTTAGTGGTTATAATTATCACACGGTATCGTGCACAATGCATTGTTCGAAACGTTCTAGAGGGACAAGAAGCAGTGATATGGTGTGGTGTCTGTGTGCGGCGGGAGTCTCGGAATGGCAAACGAAACAACAACACAATGAATGAATTGGATCAGGGACCAACAGATGGCTTCGTCTCCCCATCACGGGCGTCCCCATCGGAGCCCTTCGCGGTCGTCCGTGGCTTTGTTGTCGCGGTTGTCGTTGTCGTTTTCGTTTTTGTCTTCGTTGTCGTTTTGTCTGCGTCGGCGGGGCTGCACGAGGTACCACCCGCAACGGCGATGAGGTGCTTCGTGGCACCGAGGTTGGCCGGAAGGACCCCGGCGGGCCGCACCGGGTCCGGGGAGGCCGCCCCYGGGGGCGACAACGGTGCCCGCCGGATCGATGCCTTGCGGGCCGCAGGGTTCCGTTCGGGTGCGTCCTCCCGTTCCTCCTCCTCGTCGTCGTCGTCGCGCGATTCGTTTGCGGACACCACGCTCATGTACATCGCCCAGCCGCTCGACATGACGGACGTGGTGATCGGCCTCCAGGAGGGGGGGATCAGGCCGTAGCAGGYGAKATCGTAGAGGGGCCAGATCTTGATGTCGTCYACCACGACCTCGAGAATGTCCCGGTTGCAGCTCTCGGCGCAGCCCTTCGCGATGGCCCACAGCAGCAGCAGCGAGCCCACCGGCCTCGAGGCCCACCGAAAGCGCAGGGAGCAGGCTTCGTCGAACTGGTGGGTCGTGCACCGCGCCAAAAAGCGGCGGGCGTACATGGTGGCGTAGTTGCCGATCGTGCTGAGAATCCCGCAGGTCACCAGGACCTTGGTGAGGAGCTGCCGGAGGGTGGCCCTTCCGGGAAACCTCCGCTCGACGCTCCCGTAGATGAAGGGGACGCAGAGRCCGGACCACACGGCCCCCAGGACCGCCGCGCTCCACAGCCGGTTCGTGTCGATGGGTTGTTTCCAGAAGCGGCGGAATTTCGCTGCCCGGGCAGCGAGGGAGTCTTCCTTGCCGAACCCGGCTCGGTGGCGGTGTGTGTCTGTCTCGTCGGCGATGGGAATGGSAATGGCAACGGCCTTTGCAACGTCGATCGGTTCTGCCCCGGCYTCCTCCGCRTCGGAGGCCTCCGAATCCGAGAACTGCAGCTCCTCCGGGTCCGGCTCCGAACGATCCGTCTCGGCGGCGTCCCTCGTTGCCGTCCTGGCTGCGGTGGGTTCATTGGGTTCRYTGGGTTTTGGTGGTGTCAGAGTCGTGGTGGACGACAAGGGCGTCGACGAACAAGAAGGCGTGCCCGCRGACAAGCTTCGTTCTMSCCGCTCCTTCCTTTTCCTCTCCCGGTGCCTCGCCTTCTGCGATMCCGTGASGAGCTGGGCGGCAATGTCTCCSACGGTGAATATGGCAGCCCCGGAAAKGACGTTCCGCCGCACGATGGCAGCAGCGGCYAGGGCGTCCGACGCCGGGCTCATGGCCACTGCCGCCCCCGCCAGCGTGTTTTGCTTCGTCCCTGGATGCAGAAAGCAAGCGGACGGCGGCAGCAACAGCAACACCGCCGGGAATGCCAGCCTCGTCATTGTTCGAATCGTTCTTGTMATTGGCGGAGCGCTCTCTCTTCGTTTTGTTTCGCTTTTTTCTTCGTTCTTCCTTGTGGTGTGGTATCTTCTTGGGCTTGCCGTTTGTCGGCGTTCCTTCTGCGGGCTTGTTTGGCAGCGACGGCGATGATTRTGACAATGGCGATCGCAATGGGACAACCTTCTCTGCTCCGTCATAGATCCGATCGGATTCSGAATCGATCTCGTACTCGTAGTTGTGATGAAACTGCAAAGGGTGGTATTTATGGGGACGAMATTGGTCGYTACGGTACTCCTACTTCTAGTCGCTACGTGCGGACATCGTAGAACAAGTACGAATAAAGGAGCAGAATGGAAGTTTCGTTCCGAGAATTCCGAGTCGGGAATTGCGGTGGTGCTGTTCTCTACGTACGGTACTACTGTACGATACAGGAGAGTAAATTATTCGCACGAGTTTTCGTATCTTGCCAGTACGTATTTTCTCGTACACGAAGTACAGTACTACGTACTCCATGTGCAAAAATGCGTATGGTACGATATATATTGTGATTGGATCGATGACTTTTTGAGAATCTTTCGTGGATTCGATTGGCTCGTTTGTTCGTCATTTGTGGTGCATGTCTTTGGACAGAGCTGCGACCGTTGCGAATTCTGATTGGATGTGTGCAGGAWGGACACGAAGATCCCATGCTTCACAATKTTTCAATTTTCCCAACGAATCGCCGTCCATCGATGCCTGGGATGGGAATTCTGAGAGTTGCGTTTGCTCCGGATCGGAGGGCTTCTGCTGTACCGTACACACATGYACAGAAGAGAATCCCYTYGGGYGGTCGACGAACCACCGGCCGAACATCCCGAAGCGACAAACCCAGCTACAAATGCTGGTGCGATCGCAACGAATGATGCTGCTCCAACTGCTCCCGATGCCGCCGTGAAAACAGCGGCACCGGCAGCAGTATGTATCAACAGCTGCACCAACGACGACGACGACGACGACCTAAAGGGTCCGCCAAGGTCTCAACGACAGAACGCCCCCATCCATCGACACCATCCGACCGGGGGGCTTTCCAGAAAACCAATTCGTGCATCGCATCCAAACCGGCATCATCGAACGAATCGACAACGCCCACAGGAATTCCTGCGACGATTCGATCCGGATCGAGCAGCAGCCAACCAYGGGCAACTCGGTCCCCACACTCGGTTCACTCCCTACACGACACCCTAATTGGACTATATCCCGSTGGCGATGGACCTGTCGGACCCAAGCGAGATCTTCCACCGGATACAGAAGAATCCCCTAAAGGTGGAAGAAATCGCTGCCAACGACCGGTCGTTTTTTCGWAGGATGCCTATCCTATGAAAAAGCCGACGAGTTCTTTTGCGAACTCGTATACCGCTTGGCGGAGGCCAAATGCACRCGAATCTGATTGAAGAAAGAAAGATGCAATGCTTTTCCATCCGTGTTGTTTCCCCGGGCATCTGTCGCTTGAAGATATCTTGGTCCCGCGCCATGACTTTCGTTTGTTTACCTGGTCCAGTTCGTATTCTGGTTACCAGAGGGCAAAGAGAGCAAAAGATCGTCGACGTCAACGACGACAACGAGAATGCAGCATCCCTAACAGTAGTAGCAGCAATCTAGGCACTCCGATATTCGAGATCAGCTGCCAATAATAAAAAATCTAAATCGAACCAAGGTTGAAAAGCACTCCGAGAGAAACAGTAACGATTCCACAGTATCCTAACGGAAATCATTTGGYACGTAACTATTCGTAATCCTAAAAGTTATATGCAATGGTAAAAACCGAGAAACGACAAAAAGCAAGCCGGGGCAGCGGCGGCAACACTACGGGCAAAACGCGAGCAAGATTGCAGAACATGAAGTTGGTTTGGACAACCCCAACGCCTCAACCGAAAGGAAACATCGGCAGAAAAAGATTGGGACGGAATCGATCGGAACGAATGAAGCACGATAGGAGACCATTGGGTGTGGTGTGGGTCTTTGCTTTGTGTGTTGGATGGGTGCGTCTCCATTCGYWTACCGACAGATTCGTGCACGGATTCTTCTCCGCGGCAATGCAACCCCGAYTGTTACTTCGGACGTGTCTCCTCCGTATTCCCGATAGAGAAGGAGCAAGCCACGTCGTCATTCCAGGCGGGCCGAGTCGTCCAAGATTGTTCTGTMCTCCTGCTCGTTGTTTTGTTCGCGTGTACCGGCCGACTATTCCAGCCRCTCGGGCGTCGTCTCTCCTGGTTTCTGTATCACTGCTKTATCTAGAGCTCGCCGCCGGCAGCCTTCTTGTTGTAGTCGCCGATCGCGTCGATCATGGCCTCCGCAAGGGTGATGTCCGGGCGTTCGTCTCCAGCTGGGTCGTCATCCGCTTCGGCAACGCGAGCAATTTGCACAACGCCGTCGACGATGTAGAGGGCAAAGCGCTTGCTTCGGTTGATCAGGCCCACCATTTTGGGACCGGCCGCCGTCATCTCCATGTCCAGGGCCGCCGTTACTTCCCCATAGGGATCGGCATATAGATGCAAGATGGTGTCTTCGTCATCCTCTGCATCTGCCATGCACTTGACGCCCTGGTYTTCGGCCCAAGCTGCCATGACGGCCCCATCGTTCACACAGTAGACCATGATATCATCCACACCCAATTCTTTTAAAGCTTTTTGATTGGCCAGGTATCCCTGCGGTGCAACGCGAGTTCGTGAAAGGCAGGGAGACGAGATTGATACAGAACATCACGTAAGCAAGAGCGAGTGGTGAGAAATAAGCCAAAGCGCAGGGATAYAGAWACGGATACGRATACGAATGGACCATTGAAATGAAGTGAATGGAACAGCAMTACCCTGGTAATCAAGGAAGCAAGTGCAGCAGCAACGACTTACGGGAACCTGGCGACTGGATCAGGTCGGCGTAAAGGCCCCGKGGAGCCCGACCAGCAAGACGTTCTTGCCCTTCGTGCGATCGGCGAGAGCGATGCGCTCTGGGGGAAARCCGTGGTGGAGGGTCAGGCCATCGGGGAGGCTGTCACCGACCTCGATGGCAGAAACGAGCGTCGAGCTTTTGTTGCACGCGACAGCGAGCAAGCCAGCTGCCACGGAAAAAATCGAAGAAGAGATCTTCATGATAGTGTCCTATCTAGTGCTTCGTTTGGGGTGGTTCGTTTGTTCTGAAATCAATYACTAGCAACAAAGCTGCGGTGCACTGTTGTCACGGGGAGCGCCAGTTTTGGTTTCGCTTTCCAACGCTACCATACGTACGAGGAACCGATGCTGCCGTATTCGACCTGCAAAACCAATGTTATTGTAACGTGGCGATACGGCGCAAGGACAGACTGTTCAAGTACTAGTACAACTAGTACTACTAGTATTGGACTCATTCCACTATTACAAGAAAACTACTAGTACTACAACAAAAAATGAAACCTACCATTACTACTACTAGAAGTAACTTGATACAAAGAAGGCTTCATGCAAGACCACACCATAGTACCATAATTAGTAGTTGCCAAAATAGAGTCGTAGGAGTACTAGTAGTAGTACTAGTAGTACTAGTAGTACTACTAGTACAAATGGGCCATCATTACCACCATGCATTGCTTGGTGAGGTGGAACAAGCAACAAGAATGAATGTTGGGTGAGCATTTCACCTGTCTACTGGTGCCATGTTGGGCATAGCAGTTGTAGAACTAGTATATTGATCAAAACAAGGGAAGAAGTATTGGAAGGACATTACTATCAGCATCTAATGGTGGTGGCTCTCCTGCTGCTGCTGGAACTTCTAGTACAATGTGATGGCTTCAAAGCCCAACTTAATAGAAGTATTAAAGGCAAGTCCCGTAGTGGCAAGTTATTGGCAATCCCCGTACAAATTCTAATAGAAATTTTTAGCTCATTTTTACAGTTAAAACCAGTTAAAAAACAAGGCATCCAAAGGACGGAAATAAAAATATTTCCATTGTTTAATTTCTTGCTGGTCCCAAAATATTTCTATTWGTGCTCCTTACTACTGGGGATATAAAATCAGTGCTTACTACTTGAGAATTAATATGAGTGCTTACTACTGGATCACCTCCATTACTATTTTCTAGTTGGGATGCCATACTAGTAGTAGTAGTGAACACTGCAAACTACTGGGTAAGGGGGTTCTGTTGGTGCTGTTCTCCTCAAGTTTTTCAAACGCACGACCTTACACTTTGGTTCTGAAAATTGTCACCTAAATTTCCTGCTGACTCATACATGGTACATACCTGAAATGCACCTTCTTCTTCTGGCATCTGAACCACCATGGTGACATCATCCCCTTCAGAAGGGGAAAATCTGGCTCTCCAGCCTCCATTCAAGTAATCCAACCAAGCTTGTTATGCTGATAAGATCAGTATGATCATTCCTCCTCAGTCCCCAGTTGGTGGCAGTTGGCCTCAGCTGGTGGATCCATCCATGATGGCTCCTCCAGCAGAAGTATCTTCCACCAGCAGTCTTGAAGAAGTTGTTGTTGCTTCAGACATTTGTGCTGGACAGAAACAACACCAAGCAAAGCCCCAGTATCCACCCCACTAGACCTTTTCCCCTTGAACAAGAACAACAAAGTCTGGATATCATGTGCAAGTAATGGCATAGTATCAAAATGACCGTTGCTGGAACCCTTTCAAGAACCAGGAGCAGTTAAGTCAGAATGACATGAAAAAATTGCCCTCTTTGAAGGCTTGCTCTTGTTCTTGTTTAAATCTTACTATCAGTATGGCAAGTCAAATAGGGATAACATCACAAAAATATACCATAGGCCCTGGATGAAACGAGGACRAGTATGATGCAAGAACAACTAGAAGAACCAGCAGCACCAAGAAGAAGGAGGAGGAGAACAATCAAATCACCCAAATATTCTTGAGCTTAGTATCATTTCAAAATACTAGAGGTGCTGAGGGGACTCCCATTTTGGGACAAAGGAAGTTGCAGAAGTATGTAAGATGAGGAGTAGAGACAAGAAGGAGCACCAAGGACTAGAAAGTGTGACACATTCTAATGCATTATGTCGATGAAATTGCACAAAAACGAATGAAAGGCGTCCCTGTTTTAAGTGTACGATGTTTACCGTACGGTACGTACGCCGCMCTTTCTGACGCTTATGTTGAAGAAGTACGATCGAAGAAGTACGATTAAATTCAATTTTGATTGAATTTTCTTCTCGTCGTCGCGCTGAAAAATCAGTGAGGTATGAAAAAAATATGCCCAAATTATTTTCTTTTGACATCATCATCCTTTACTTTGGAATACTTCATGCAACTACGAAATGTTGAGTACCACCGACGATAGTCGAGAGCAAATTCGATCTAAATGAAAAGAACTGCTATCCTAGTGCGACGAGTTGTCGTCGCACTAGGATAAAGTGAGCACGATCGTCATTCACATGTTCAATGAGCTTAGATCACGGCATTGAGAATGAAGCAATGTAATCTCGTCATTATTGTTTTCAGGCCACGAGAAAAAAGATCGTAACGACGCTAGAGAAGGAATAACTTAAAGAAGTGAGCACGATCGTCATTCACATGTTCAATGAGCTTAGATCACGGCGATGAGAATGAAGCGATGTAATCTCGTCATTATTGTTTTCAGGCCACGAGCTATAATTCGGCTTTTTTTTCAAACAGATAGTCAATGGGGAAGACAAAATTATATTTAATGCACCCATCTCGTCTCTTTTGGCGTTCATTGAAACTAATTGACATTTACTAATTGACATTTTTGTAATGATCCACTTTTCMTTCCCTCGACATCGAGGCTATATAATGGGCCCATTACTAAAAGAGGAGGACTTAAATAAATGATTAATGGTCGTTTCGATTTCGACGACCAAGTTGATCGCGTGAAATTTTTTCACCGAGAAAAAAAACTGGCCTGAAAGCTGAAATTTCGAATGGATCGAAAAAAAAACTGCATTTTCCTTTACACGCGACGGATTAGAACTACTCTCTCACACGTAGTCTCGCTATTGAAAAYAAATGACAAATTTGAAGTTCTTGTCACGACAACAGCATTACTGTAATACAAAATRCTCTTCAAATTTGGGAATCGATGACCACTTGATGGTCATCTTGATAGGTGATGTTATCATCGCCACTTTTCACTTMAAGTCCAAAGTAGATGCAAATTGTGTCGTACACAGTCCATAAAAAAACTCCTCACTATTTGATCACCCATGAAAATGGAAAAWATGAAAAGTTTTCGAGACAAAGAGTACGTCCCAAGTACCTCTCAAAATTTAATTGAAAGTAGCTGGGATAGCGGCATCCTTTCCCACGAATGGGATGGTGTCGAGTTCACCAAATCAAACAAACTTTCCGCATGTTCTTCATTTTTTGATAGCTTGCTTCACGACCACAACATCGCAGACATAGATTTCGTGCCGGATAACGCGAAACCAAGGAGTAATGTACCCAGAAGTGTCTACTTCCATTCTCCCGAGGATCAAGAAAAGAAAAGCGCCAATCGGTGGAACAGTTGTATTAYGCGGAGCAATCCGCGAACTTTGCGAGGGAAAAACTTAAAAGTATCTTTGAGTCGGAGCAATGTGGCTCCGTCTATCGAGACGGGACAAGGGGCGGCTTCAAGGTACGATGAATCCTTGTCTCCACCAATGAGATCCAAGCACCCCAAACCAGGGGACGGTTTAGAATCAACGCATAGAGTGTCTACACCTCGAAGAGCAGACAAATCTCCGTCCATGCAAAGCGACTGCGATGAGCCCATGCCAACGCCAGCGGCAGCACCTTCATCGTTGAAGGACACCGGTTTTTTGCCTCCGCTGTGGGAAAGATTAAACAATGGTGGCAACGYAACCCACCAACTACCGAGATCAATTCCCTTGTCGGCGAAACAAGTAAAAGGAAGATCTCCTTCGTATCACTGCTCCTCACCACCATTGCTCATATCAACGCCGCCATATCCACTTAGAGGCGAGGATCTCCAACGTCGCACGATGAGCAAAAAGACAACAGCACAGAATTCAAACCTCTGGCATGATGTCGGATCACTTAAACCCCGAAGAGCACCACGGAATGACTTGATTGCTGCTGAAACCCAGTCGAAACCGAGGTTTCCCGTACTGAAAGAGACGTCTTCTTCGCGGTCGACATCCCGTGTGGATGGTKCTGATTGTTCCAACTGCAGAACGAGCTTACGTTCATTGCGGGGTAAGCACTGGGGTGGCGATGACACCGTTGCCGAGAGCACCATATCATCTTTCAAGATTGTCAAGCTGGCAACCGATCTCCTCAATCAGAACCCCCCCCTTGTTTCTTCTTCAACCCCACGGAACTCCTTGCGCCGCCGATCTATTCGCGTTTCTCACGCACTGGACAATCGTCGGCATTCCCGTTTGCATCCGATCCGGCARCACAGTGACAATAGCAACATGGAGCGATGCCCMAAACCACCCGTCCGAAGAAGGTCGGTCTCCTTTGATAGTCCAATTCCACCCGTACGAAGGAGGTCCGTCTCCTTCGGTTCGGATGAAGAAGYATAGGGCATGAGACAAATTGAAAGTTGTATGAAAGTTTATTCTGTATAAAGTAAATTGTAAATTGCGTTCAAAGCYCACACCGATTTATGTACATCAATGAACTAGACCGTGTCAAGAAGCATCAGCATTGAAATGWGTGACTACACGGGCTAGCAGATGYCTTGCGTACTACATATCTCTGATCACAACCCCGTCTAAGATGTTCAATTCTCACAATCTTACCAGTGCTGTCTCYGATGACCCTTGGTGTGGAGCGATAAAGAAGAATGATACCGRCAGGTGATCTTTTTCAGGCAATGCGACYAAGAATAAAATGCCATTTCTGTATGATATTGCATCGAATTCATTGGCTTCTGATTTTATCTTGAAGGGTTTCGTCCATTCTGCTCCACGCATCTGTCAGCAGCTTTCATTTCAATGCATTTTTCTTGAAGCATTGCTTGTGAATGGAAATCATTCATGGATTCGAAGCACGAGTCTCAATTCCACGAGCAGAAGGATCGCAGCTTTTTATTGCCATGGATCAAATCCCRAAGCGTTCGCCCTTTGTTTGGCTCTTCAATGGACTCTCGGAACAAAGCCGAGTAGATTTTGTGCCTAGCTGACCGACTTGCTATTTGCAAACGCATATCAGGAACAACCAACAACGCGGTACAAACAAATGTTCCTTCCCTCGAAAGGCAATACATGGCTCCGAATGTCGGGGGACTTTGCCTTCAGGTATCGGATGAGTTCTTCGTAGGTCGTCACGGGTTTCGTRCGTTGTTTGTTACCATCGCCACAGCCACCGCCTTCGAGGACCGGAACCCGTCGAAAGGGAAACTCTTTGCTGTAGACGCAGCAGGGTACCACAAAAAAGGAAATGTCCATGGCGAGAGCTGCATCGATAATGGCGTCGACRGCCTGGTCCACGTGCATCCCTACGATCAGGTCGGCCTTTCGRACGACCTCCGAGGCGTGATCAAAAGTTGGTGTAAAGGACGATTCGTTTTCCTTGTTGTCGATGGTGCCTCGTCCCGATGGCGTCGGGGTTGGGTCGGAATCTCCGTTCGCTTTCGCGGTTGCGTTGGCGCTCGGTCTCTTTCGAACAATTTCGTCTCGATCGTCGTCGCCCATCGCAGCGTGCTCGTTGCTGGCCCCCACCGGTGGCCATACCCATCCCTGCGCCCTGTAGCAATTCTGAAAGAATTCCTTTCGCAGATCTCGCTTRGGCTTGATCTTTTGRRGGTTGGCATTGTCATCCCCGTCATCATTATTGTCATCGTTGTTGTTATTTGTGTCGTTCGAATCGGGTTCGGTCTCCCACAACTCGCTAGAAAACAGGCATCGGAGCTGATCGACCGGTCGYTCGGGCTCKGTGAGKGGCCGGACCACGTCGTGCGTGAGGATGCCCTGGGACCGGTGGTAGAAGCCCTTTTCGAGGCGGCCCCGGAAGCGCTTCAGCGAGAGCGGTCGAGGATCGATCACGTGGCACGTCTTGGCGTTGTTCAGGTTCAGGAGCTGGAAGGCGAGCTCGCCCTTTCCCCCGGCCACGTCAAGGACGTTGCAGCTAGAAAGGTCGAGCTGAACGAAATCTCTGTCATCGGTTTCTGCTGTGTTGCTGTTGCTGTTGCTGTTGCTGTTGCTGTTACTGTTACTGTTGCTACTTGTGGTTGGATCTTTGGTAGCATCTGCAGCGGCATTCGTATCGGTACTATTGGCACGGGTTCGTTCTCCTTCCCCTCCGTCGATGCGAGACGCCTCCTTTTTGTGGGGAGAGGCGATGAAAGCTCGCAGGATCGCAACCCGGGCGTCGTTTCGGGTGGTCAGCCGCCCGCTGCRCTGCCGGTGGCGGTTGTGCAGGTTGGTCTGCCTGGAGGTTCTGGCGTTTTGTGGTTGTTTTGGCGGCGGGATCACGTAGTCAGCCGGATGGGAAAACCGGCATTTTCCCAAGTTATGGTAGAGACAGGTCTTGGATCTCGCCCAGTGCTTGCACAACGGAGGTTCAACGGTTGCCGCAGCCGCGGGCTTCGTAGAGGTAGTTGCTGTTGATGTTGCTGTTGATGTTTCTTCTTTTGCTTCTGTTACCTCCGGGGTGGATTCCTGTTCCGTTTTTAGCGGGGAGGGAATGGCTGTTTCCATTTCTATTGCTTTGCTAGACTCCATTGTTGTGCAACGGAAATAAACKGAGTGATTCTAAGTGAGAGGGACCAGCAGTCTGATATCGAGACAACAWGGAGGTTTGAACGAGTGCGGTAATCAATATTGCCTCGAGCGGTCAAAACAGAGTGGAAGAAAAAACAAAAAAACCTCAACAATCCTGTTTCCGTCAAGATGGGAGCAATCATCGTCCATTCATTGGTGTTTTTTCGAGCATGAGTACATACTACATAMCGTACTCTAAGGTTTGAGATATTTACTGTATTACTTGTACTTTTACTTGTGAACGCGCGGAGGAAAGWGTGCCTCATCGTCGCTTCGCTCCAGTCGTGCGTTGTTTCGATTTCGATCGTGTCGATGCGAATTTTGAAATATGATTAAATTAAATAGTACGGTATGTATATGTATCATATGAAATAATCATATGATGATACATACTAAAAGTATCATACTAATCATACTAACGAGGGAAGGTGTTGATGCGATGAGATGAAAAGTTGAGCGTACGAAACTTCKTACGGTTCGTACGTACCGGTACTCGCGTATTTGACGGAGGCATTTTGTCCAGTTTTTCTGTGACGGTTTTGGCTAGGTAGCACGAGTAAGCGTTGGAGACTGCAACAGATACATCACCTCCGTCTCTCTCGATGCGATAGGATAGGACCAATCCTCCTAGCATTGGAAGACCGTACTTCACCTCTTCAAAGACGAGAGAGCCAAGATAATATGTGGGCTTCCTCCTTCAACGATCTGGCCAAAAAGGCCGCGGAAATGCAGGAGCAAGCAGCTGCTTCGATAACGGTGCGTTAGAGTCGAGTCATTCCGTGTCGTGCAGTTGCATTGGGACCGTGGATCGGATCTAATCGAATCGGATTGTATTACAGTAGATTGGATTTGATTGAACCCGACTGGAACACACCTTTGTCGTGCATTTGAGAAGCAGATGTTTCAAATCTTTCTTGTGCTTACGAACAACAAACATCTGACCGACTTGATTGATCCGTTTGCGAATTCCGTTTCGTGTTCCAACGTTATGGTGGTATGGTATATCCTGTCATATCACGTCATGGCATGCTCCGTGCCGTCCAATTATTTCCCTCTTCAGTCTCCTGCGGCATCGAATTTCAGCATGGGGAGCATGTTCAATATGGACAGCCTCCAGCAGCAAGAAGAGTCCGATCCGGACAAAAAGGCGGAGGACCTGAAAAAACTGGCGCACAGCACCATGGCGAGGGCCGACGCGGGAAGGGTGACCAGCGCGGGCGCCACGTTTTACAACCCATTGGCATCGGTGACAACGACAGCATTCGCAACCCCACAGAAGCAGCAGGCAGTGCCAGCATCCAGGTTGCAGCAGACCAAAGGGACAACGCCCTCGGCTACGTTTAAATCGAAACAAACCAATCATTCMAACGGGAGCACGCGGGCAATCACCCCTTCCAACATGACTTCGGCCCTTTCCTTTGGAAACAATRCAGCCACAACAAAAACGACAACAACCATAACACCCGTGAAAATCCAAACCAACAAGCCACTCCTCGAGAGCAAGGTTGTCGCTTCCGTTCCACAACCCAAAAAGCAGCAGCAGCAGCAGCAGCCGGCGACGGAACGCAGCAAAAAGAGCGGTCTGGTGATCGGAGGAACGAAGAAATCATTCACGGGACCGAACACAAAAATCCCTAGCGCTTCGCTGGCCACAYCGGGCAAACCAAAGCTCGTAGTGAAGGCCACACTCTCGTCCGCTACACCCCTACCGTCCACCACCTCGAAACTGATTCCTCCCTCGCCGCCGAGGACGYGTGACAACCTTTCGAAACCAGCAAATGTACATACCCCACTAGCAAAGCAACCACCGCAATCGCTGCCAACCCCCAAACCACAGATGGCAAAACCAAAACAGACACATTCTACTCTAGAATCTGCGGTGCAACCGAAACCGAATACCAGCAACGAAACGACAAAGACGACAATTAAACCCGCATTAAATCCATCCACATCGCAAGCAACGGCGGCAGATGAAAAATCGACCGAACCGCAACCACCAAAGCAAGAGGCGGAGACCGGTGTGCCACCCGGACCAAAATCCTCCCAGAAAGAAGACAAAGTAGGGGCTTTTCCGCCAGAGACTTCCGATGCAGATTCACAAACGAAAGATGGCAACAGCAGCGACAAAAAAACAGAAGCACCGACTTCGGATATTGCCATTGCAAATATTTCTCCCAAGAAAGAAACCATACCAGAACCCACGGTCTCCTCGGATTCGTCGGATGCCACGGAAAGAAAWGAAACCAAGGATTCCGAACCCATCAGAGAGGAAAAAGAACAACCTATTTCTCATGACAATCTCGCAGCAACAGAAACCGAAAGCCAATCGGTACCACCACCAGCCACGGGAGGGGAAGAGGAGCAGAACTTGAACCCAGCAGTCTCCCAGGCCGCTCGGAACGAAGCCCTTAAAAAACAGCTGGAAGTCCAGCRCCGGGAAACAGAAGAGCGAATCAAACAGCTCAGAGATGAATTCACGAAACAGCTTCATCGATTGGAAGAAAACCACMAGGCGGAGAACACCAATGTCAGCAAACAGTACGAGCTGTCGCTCGCGCACTTGCAATCGGAGGCCGACGAGCGCGAGGGGAGGCTACTAGCGCAGTCGAAGGAAGTGGAATCCCAGAAACAGGCGATGGCGTTGAAACTCGAAAGCGTTTCGGCCAAGCTGAAGCAAGCGAAGGAGCTGATTGCCGACAAGGACAAACAGAGTCGGATCCTCCAGGAAAAACACCTCCAGCAGCTGCGGGGCATGGAGAAAGAGTTCTTTCGGAGCGAAGACGACTCGAATGCCCTGGGGCAGGAGATAGTCGACCTGAAGGTGAGCAAACCAAGAAATGATTCATTTGCATAAGTTTTGTCGATCGCTTGATCAAGAATCCTGCTTCAGTATTTACTTCACGCATTCCTTCTTCTTGGATGTGCTCATCGTTTATGTCGTGTTGCTTTCTTCGTTTTATTAATCTCTTTAGAAACAACTCGAAGATTCCAAAAACGAAACTAAAACCGCTCTGGACGATTACAATACGCTCAAAGAACGTGCCAGGGGAGTCGCRGGTGAACTGAAGGGAAAACGTGCCGAATGCCGAACGCTTACCTCAGAAATCAACCTRTTGAAGGACAATACCAAGAATCTACAAGAACGCATCACCCAGTTGGAGGCCAGGGGGATAGATCTCAACCAATCGTCGGAAGAAACCCAGGAGAAACTCGCTGCGCTGCAAGTCTCATTGGAAGATAAAGAAAAGGAATTGAAAGAATGCAAAGAGGCGATCGAAAGCGAACGAACCAATGGAGCTGAGTCTTTGGCAGCCTATAAGAAAAAAGCGCAGCAATCCCTCGCGATGGCCAACGCTCGCTCGGCATCGGCGGTCCAGGCCCGCGAGGAAGCCGAAATGGAAGCCCGGGCTGCCCGGTCTACAGCGGATTCGGCCATGCAGAGGGCCATGGATGCAGAAATGAAGGGAAAGCGGGCTCTTGCAGAAGCAAAGCAGTACACTGACGAAATGAAAGACGAGGTTGCCGAATACGAAACGGTCAAGAAGAAGCTGGAAGATTCCAAAAATGAACTCAAGACCACACGAGAGGAATTAGAAACACAAAAGGATTCGACCGAACGGCTCCATTGCGAGCTGACGAGTCTCTCCGGTAGGCTGGAAGCAGAGCAGCAGACGATGGAAGATCTTAAGAMGTCGTTATCAAACGAACAAAGCCGGTCAAACGAACTCTACGAAGAGGTCGAGCGACTACGCAGAGAGGGACAACGAAGTCAAGACGAGATTCGACGGCTTTCGGATGCTAACAAGAAAGAATTATCGTCTTCTGCCGATGAACAGGCCATAGTTCGGGGGCGCAGTGCTGAGGCGGAAGCAACAATTGCCATTCTCCAACAGGAGCTCCAGGATGCCAACCGTGCCATCAAGGACCTGAAGGAAACGCTAAATGCCACCATCAAGGAGAATGATGCATTACACTCATCGTCTTCGAATCTGAACCCACACTATGCGAAAAATGGAGGTGCGAGCACGAACGGGCATCAAGGAAATGGAATGCCCCTCTTTTATGCCATGGAAAAACAGGCCGAGCTTTCGCAGGCCCGGGAAGAAATTGCGCGATTGGCAAGTCTTGTTGGTGACGCCGAATCCACGAAGCAAGAAGCCTTGGAACACATGCATGAGATGAAGCGGGCAATGGAAGAGGCCCAGTCTCGACTGAAACGACAGGAACAACTCAAACAAAATCCAGAAACAGAGAGCGTCAATCTGGAGTATCTCAAAAACATAGTGCTGAGTTATCTAAATGCGAGCACGGTGCAAGAGAAGAAGGCCCTTCTGCCGGTAATAGGCACAGTTTTGTGTCTTACTCACGAGGAACAAGCCGCTGCCACCGCGCAGCTCAACAACAGCAAGGTGTCCGTTATGGACAGCGTGGCATCCAGCGTTCTCAATCTAAAATGGTAAAGCATCGCTGTCTTATTATCCTGATACTTTTAGCACACCGTATGATTTTATTTTGACAAAAGATGGTGTTGAACACACGTAAATTTCAGCTCCAATTGTTTCGCACGAATTTTGAAAAAGTGCTATTGCTGCAATAACCCAAGTTCAAATGTCAACTAGATTTGTTCGTGGCTTTGGTTTCCAGTCCATTTTTGAATCTTTTCCTAATTTATTGATGTCTAATTGACTACTGGTATTAATAACATTAAAAATCTGTCTTAGACCATCGTTGAGACATTTTTTTAGTTAGCCCAGGTTAGACTTTCTGCAACATTCCCTGGCAATTCGATTTCCGTTGCTGCCATCTTGCTGTCTTTTGTTGCGTTTTGTTGTGTGTMCCGTTCTATCCCATCCTATTATTACTATAATAATGCATCAACGTGAACGACATTCCGGATACGTTTCTTCTTACTAGTACCTCCAGCAATGGCACCCAGCCTAATCTTTTCCATTCTTACGAMACCTGCTTGCTTCGCAAACAAGGTGTGGTCTTTTCCCACCCCGACGTTGTCCCCGGCCCGGAATTTCAGACCACGCTGTCGCACCAGTATGGAACCRGCGTTGGCAGGTTGGTTGTGGAGAATCTTGACGCCGAGGCGACGGCCTATAGAATCGCGCCCGTTGTTTGTCGATCCTCCGGCCTTTTTCGTAGCCATACCTCGGACTGTGGTTGTTGTGGYGGTAGTTGAAACGAATGTAGGAGTCGTAGCCGAGGGTGTGGTTGTTGCTGCTGCTCTTCGGGTGCCCGAAACGAGGATCGTTGAAGCTTTCGTTGCGACGCGAATCATTGTTCAGTTCAATATATCACCTCAAATGTGCAATATTTGTATTCCTACGATAGTTGTCCGCAGCAAAGCTGTAGTTGGTGAGTACTGTACGATCGGATGCAACGTAGGCTTTTGTCTTCGATGTCTCGTTCTTGATTGTTTTGGGATGATTTCGAAACTTGTTTTTGTGTTTGTTTTGTTTTCGTTCTGTCGTTGACTTCCTTTCAGCGGCATCGGTGCCTCAAACGRTACGTACGACACGGTACRATACCTGTCGTAACTTTTCGACGAACGAAGGACGTACGATAAGTCAAAACAGCACCAAAACTTCTTCTTGTACTACTAGTAAAATTTCCCAACAAGAATATCACTTCAATTGYAGAATCAGCTGATTTTTGTGTACAATTTTGTGAAAGAGTGTTCTAAGATTCAGTTTTGAACCAGACATATTTCTCCWTCATTTGCTTGGGTTAAAGGCCATCAGGATGATCAGATTGATTTTGATGAGCTCGTCCCAGCACTGACAGCTCCTCAGCTGAACATTGAAGCTCATTGCTATGCTGACATTTTTCAAGCCAGGATGGCAATGCCCCACTTCATAGATAAGTTATCCTGATCTGCACTTGAGCTCTCACTCCTCAACTGTGCTGGGGGCGGTTGTTATCTTGTGGAATTCTTTCTTACTTCTTATCTCATTGTGGGGGTGGTAGTAGTAACAGAGAAATCAAGATCTTCACGGTCATACACTCTCTCAGAAACAAGCACTGAAATGACATTGGTTAATAACAAAAGTCCACAACAATCTATTTGCCTTGTTCATCTAATCCCAAAGGATCCAGAAACCTTCTTATCTGAAGCCCCCCCTACATCCTTGCTCTTGTATCATTACCTCCAAATGTGCAAGAAAACTACTTGTGCAAGCATCTGCAACAAAGCATCTCTT